TTGGAAAAGTCTTGACAATAGACGATTCATTTAATTATTCTGTAAAGAAATATTTTAAATATGAGTAATTAAGAAAAAAATATATATTCTTGAATAGACTAAAAATAGAGATATTGTTTGGTTGTTTTCTTGAGAAAAGGTTCTTTAACTGGAAATATGACTTATCATTTTACATAGTAATTTATAAAGCCAAAAATAAAAATAGTCTGTCTAGTTTGACAATAACTGTTATTAAAAGAAAAAGAAGAATTTTAAAGATAATAAATATATTACTTTTTGTTTTAAGGATCAATTTATTTGTCGTTTATCTGGTGAATGTAAAATCGATGAACGTTCACGTCGTCAATGTACAGCATGTCGTTTAAGAAAATGTTTTACTATGGGGATGATTAAAGAACGTATACGAACAGAAGAACAAAATCAACGTCATCGTGCATTAGTTCAAGAAAATCGACGGCAAAAATTGAAAAAATATCAACAACAACAAGAAGAAAGTCGACTAGTATGTTTAATTAAATATTTTCAAAATGAATTAAAATTTATTTATTTATATTTGTTTTTATCTTTTCTAGAGAATTCTTGAAGAACATCATCATCAATCTATTTGTTCAACATCATATTTATTTTCAAATAGTCATTTAAATTATATTGATTTAATATTTGATTTATTTATTGAAAGTTCACAACAAATAATTCCAGAAGATTTTATATTTAAATATGATTACGATTTAACAAATGTTCTTAATTTATATTGTACACCAATATCATGTTTAATTATGTTTTTTAAACAATTATCCCAATTTCAACAGTTACCTGTTGATGATAGACTTATTCTTTTAAAAAATAATATTAAAATTCTTTTACCTATGTTAACACATTTATTAAATACAACTTGTGGTATGCAAATTCTTGTTAATCATCCAGGTCCACATAATATTAATAATAAAATAGCATATGCAAGTTCATTATTTGAGGATATCGTATCAGATGATAATAAGTTATTAATTATTTTAATTGTTGTCTTCCTTTTTTGTCCATGTTTGTTTACAAATGAGTCATTATATGACGCCGGTAATATTAACAATCATTCAAGACAATTGATAAAATATGCATATGATGAATATATACAATTATTATGGTATTATATTCTTGAAAAGTCTCTTGATCAAGAAGATCAAGCTGTATTGACATATATGAAAATAGTGACAACATTTCTGCATTTACAAAATGTAACCAGTGAAATTTATGGTATAGTCGAATGCTCAGTTCAGGTTGATCAACTACATATGATGATGCAATCGGTTTTACATTTAACATAAAAGAAAAGAAGATTGTGTTTTTTTTGTCTTTGTTGTTTTTAGATTTATTTTGTTTTTGTATCTGTAAATTAGGATCGATTCTGATTTAAAATAAATAATGTATTTTCTCATTTAATAATGTACCAGATCTGGTAAAAGTTTCGCTACTTTATTTCTTTTATAAATATTCGAATGAGAAAGAATTTATGTACATGTGATCCCAACTTCGTTATAATAAAGATCGAAAAAATTCATTATTTACAAATTTCTGTCAGTTTTAATTTTAATATAATAAAACAAAAAATAATTTTATAAAGTATGCTATGGAATTGAGTGAATGGCATTTACTTCCTACACAAAACTATTTTTATGATTCTTTTCAAATTTTAAATAAACATTTAAGAGGCATCATATGTTTTAATATGACTTCATGTTAAATAAACTTTCAAGTTTATCTTTAAATATTTAATAAAAATCTACATTTACTTAACCAAACTCGTATATCTGTACATCTACAATAAAAATAGTCGATCTTTTTTTTTTTCTTTAAATACTATTCCAACTTTTTCAAATGATTCGTTTTTTATCAAACGCTGTTTAAGCTGTATACAATAAGAAAAAAAATTAATTGTCTAGAAAATTCTCCAAAAACTCAACTTGATTTGATCATTGATGTCATTTGTAGAACACTTATTTTGAGAATGGCATTTTTCTCAAAATATAGCTTACTACGATCTAATCAAAGAAGTTTGTTCTAATATAAATATCATACTATACATAATCGATAAAGTCTTTCGACTACTATCGAGCAATTGCTTATGTTTTGAAAGTTAAATATTTCTTTATGTAAAAAACTACATTAATAAAAAATTATGCCGGAAGTAGATGCTATTCATTGAATTAAGTAATATCAACTATAAAACTTTTATTATTTTATCGTTTTTAATTAAAACTAACAAAAGTTTATAGGAAATTAAATTCTGCATCTTCTGACAGAATACGTAGAATTATATATTTATTTATTCATTCATTCATTTGAATCGTTGCAAAATGTTTGTTTCGTACAGCGACATTTTTTTCATACTGATGAAAACATTCTCGGAAATACGTGCCGCATATGAAACTATGCTTGAAGATCATTTTTTTCTTTTTTTCTTATAAAATATTATATCTTGATGGAATTTAGTAGGCATTTATGATAAAGTTGGATGCCAAGTTATTGACATTTGCAAGGTTTATATTTAGATTAAGCGGCAAACATTCAAGTTTTTGTTTATATGAGACATTTTAAATAGTTGACAGCTCGGTTGTCATCACAGAAAAAAGGTCTTTATGACATAATAAGGTCGATGATTTTGAAGAATCAAGGCAAAATTTTCCAGAGATTTAATATGTTTCAAATAAACAACTAGAAATAAAAATTTAACACAATAACCCCTCGTCAAAGATTATTACTCATGACCAATTGAATAAAATGATTTTAAAATCACAATATATTTAGGTTCATAGAAAAATTTTCATTTTATAATAAAAACAAAATAGTTTATTTTCTTTAATAAAATTATTTTAAAGAAAGGATATATGAACATCTTCTATTATTCATAAACTTATACTGCTGATATCAGTCGAATTCTCGTCAATGGTTTTTCTTAATTCTCGATTTAACAATTGTATTTTATTTTGTCGTTTAATTTCGAAAGAAGTTCTTTATTATGTCAAATATAATGAATGTTCTAAAAAAAGTATTCTTACTTCAGATAAAAACTATTCTATTCTATCTCATATTGTATGTAATCCTAGAAGAATTTCATTGAATTCTTTGGAGAGATGAGTATGATTTTTAAGCTATACTAATATCATGGGGATTTTTTTAAAAAAAAACTACAATTATAAATATAACTGATACAAAATGAAAATTATATTATCGTCATAAGGAGAACAAATTGAGCATGTAAAATCTTGAAAGCTATCAACAATAAATAGAAGTGATGTTTTCTTCTTCGAAAAGAACCATTAGACTTCATGAACATTATTCGGAAATCGATCAAAATAATCTAATTAATTAGTTACTTTTTTTTCTGACAAAAAGTAAACACGTTGAAGATTAATTTGATTAATATCATGCATTCAACTGTCATGAAGGAGAAAAGTTTTTGCAATATTAATGTTAATAAATGATTCATTTTTAAATATAAACACGAGTTAAATGAATATTTTAGTTGCTTTTTTTTCCTAATGAAAAGATAACCCTGGATGTATTCTCCTGCTGATTTTTTAGATATGAAAAATGGATATACTTCATTACAGAGATATGCAAGTCAGCTGTTTTTTTTGACACAATTCAAGTCAAGTCATTTCTTAGTAAGCTCAGATCTCAAGTCATTGAGATGAAGTTTTTTTTTCAAGTTTTAGAATTTTTCAATGTATCAATTTGCTGAAAAAAGTTTTTGCATCAGTCTTCAATTATATTTTAAGCATGACTAATATTTTTAATATCTGTCTTGACGTTTTGACTCAATGATGTCAAAATAGAAAACCTACTTTGAGAAAAGTATTCTTTCTGCAGATACTGATTTTGTAGAAACTATCAAAATTATTCTTTGCCAATTTGTTCAATGATTATCATCATCAATAAGATGATTAATAATTTCATTTTTGATAAATGCAATATAATTAACTAGTTTTTTTTTGTTTTTTTAAAATTACTCTGTTAAATAAAATAGTAAATAATTATCAAATTGCATATATTTAATCGAATGAATTTATTTAAATCATTGATTGAAAAATTAATGATATTCATTACAATTTTTATTTTATTCTTTTTATTGATAAACTATTCTATGGATGTTTTTTTTTTATAAATGCAAATGTGTTAACATATTCACTGAAATGATAATAAATATTCAACGTTTATGTGATGCATTTAAGACATCAATGTAGAACAGCAGAGGCAATTGTTTGTTTGATTTTTGGAATAAAATCTATCATTTTACAGTATATTGCGTGTTTGTTTAGCTTATGCACTAAAATATAATTGACAAAGTTTTTTCATGAAATACATTTTGACCATGATGATAAAAACAGTGAGCAATAACGTACCATATAACAATTAGTCTCTATATGAAATAGACAATTTTCACTTACACATAGATGAAACAAAGGACGAAATTAAAATCACAACTGATCTTGTTCATATTCACTTTGATTTTCTGAATTTTCTTTACTACTTTAAAAATTTATGTTTGATTTTGCTTTATTATGGTTAATATTTTTTTCTTTCATTTATATTATCTGTTTCAACGATTCGAACATAATAAAACAAATAGAACTATTTACATGAATAATTCAAACAGAAGTAGAAAACAAAATTTGACCGACATGATACGTGTAAATCTCTTCAAATAATATAGAATAATTAGGACTTTTTGTAAATTGCTTGGAAAGTATGAAAATTTCAAACATTATAATATTCTTGAACTTCGAATCGATAAAACATTTTGTTGATCTGTTATTATTTAACAAGATTTTTTGTTTTTTTTTCTATAAAACCAACATACTAACTCTACACTATGAAGAATTTACAACACGAATAAAGGATTTAATGCATTTTATTGAAATATTAAGACGATATTAAAAAAAAATGTTTAAATAGAAAAACTTATTGTTTCATAAAAGAAAATTGTACTTCGAATAGTTATTTTCTTAACCAGAACAATCCTTTGTGACTGCATTGAAACGAAGCCCTTTGGGACATGATCTTCGTTCCAGTCGTAATCCTGTTAATGAAAGTAAAAGTAATTAAGATACGAGTAGGAAAAATAAGTTTTGCAATTGTCTTACCTCCACCCAGATTGGTACATTCGAAATATTTTCCTTGCTCATGCAACTCTTCGTCAGGAAATTTGTCAGCACGAGTGCAAGTGAAATATCCTAGAGAAGAAAACTTTTGTTTTTTGCTTATTAGAATGAAATATGAATAGATACGATTTTCACATTTGATGCCACGATAACCCAGTAGACAATCACAGTAAGCAGTTCGTGTTGCACCAATGACAACTTCTCGGCAAGCAGCACCATTCATACATGAACTGGATGAACAAACACCCGAAGTTCCTATAATAAAATTATGTTTTTCAAACTAGAATATAAAAGAAATCTTTACCTTGTATTTCACAATATTCTCCCGAGAAATAAGCTCGACAAAGGCAAACAGCTACATACGGTCCATTTGGATTTCTAATAGCACAAACGCCATTGTTTTTACAAAAGATATTTCGACATAAATCAGTAGCTGAAAAGAAAAAAAAACAAATCGAAAGAGTGGACAAAGCGATAACCAGTAAAATAAAAATATCTACGCTGGTTTTGTTCACATATTGTACCATTATAACCACTTGGACATTTACAAACACCACTGACAAAAACACCACCATTAATACAAGGCGATGCAGTAGTTGAAAAGCCACTTGTAGCTGTTACCGAAGGGACTGATGGATTCGTTGATGACAAGGAAGGGATTGGTGGGCTCGCCGATGACACGGAAGACGCTGATGGGTTCGTTGACGACATGGAAGGGAATGATGGGCTCGCCGATGACACGGAAGACGCTGATGGGTTCGTTGACGACATGGAAGGGATTGATGGGACCGTCGATACCACGGAAGAGACTGATGAGCTCGGTATCGTCGGAGTTGGCAATGTGACTGTTACGTCTATTACAAAATAATGATAATTATCATTCGAAAACAAAAACAATAAATAGGATTGAAATTTCAATAAGAATCAAATTCTTATATATTACTAACCACAGTCACGGTTCGCCGTTAGCGCTGCTCCACTCGTACCTGGAATCCGGCAAAGACATGCGTAGCCTGTGATATGTTCATGATGTTCGAGACATATAATCAAATTTGGATTTGAAATTGAATTGCCGCATACATTATTTGCAGGATTGCTTCGATCGCAAAGACCTATGAATATAAGATTTTTGTTGTTTTTTATGTATTATAATTTTATTCTCATACGGCAACGTCTGTTGATCTCGGCTCCACCAGGACATGTACACATTACAGAACCCGAAATACCATCGATACATTCGTATCCATATTGGGGTTGGAAAGGATCACCCAGTTCACAAGGATTGCCGGTATTACAATCTAAAACAAAATGCATAAGATTATGAAGATATATTTCATTTTTTTTACCAAGTGCTTGTCCTGATGAACATAAAAATACGGTAAAAACCAGAATGTTAATCAACGAATTCATACTTGTTCGAAGTTATCAAATGTGAGCGGTTTTTAGATGATTGATGAGAGTGCTTTTATATCTGAATAACAGTTAATTATGTTTTTCTCTTTCGATAACAACTATATCAAATTTTAGTGTTGTTAAATACGATTTAAATTTCAAAAATATTTCAACATCATTTATAATTAACATATCAAATAACTAAAAAAGAAGAGAATTATTTGATATTTTATTCGCAAAATATTTGACAAATATAAAATATTATCTGTCTTGCTTTTCAAACTTGATTTCGACATTGAAATCTGAGAAATAAATATAAATATATTACTTTTTTGTGTTGTAAGAATTTATTGTAATTACACAGTGTCGATTACAATTGATCATATATCTAACTAATCGACTTGTTTTTTCTAATATTTTAGCATGCTTTCACCGTATAGAATTGTGAGTTTTATTCAATCGAGGCTCGATTTTCATAGTTGATTTTCTCAATATATTAGGTGTTTATGTCATAGATTTACTCTACAAGAATAGGAATACTAAAAATGATGTGTTTTGATTTTGCTCAAAATTAATCATCAACGAATTGAAAAATATTTGAAAATATTACAACTAAGAATCTTGTATTTCATCATTGTCAACGAGAAATTGTATTGTTCTACAATATTTTCACTATAAAACAAATCTAAATTCGTGTAAACATTTTTCAAATGTTTCTTTTCATTCACAAATATGAAATCTAAACAACAATATTCGTTCATTTTTTTTTGTATAGTGTATGATCAACTATGAACGCTAAAATACATAAGCAGAACTAATTCTAAATGATAGATGTAATTGGCTAATTTTAATATTATATTCTAAATGATTTTGAAACTAACGATCAATTTGATCAGTTGATTGATTTTATGTCAGAAAAAGTAACAACATAAACAAATTATTATGTAGATCATTGAAAAAAGTTCATAACACAGGTAAGTATGACATCTTATAGGTAATTTGATTGCTCAATGACATGACTTCATAGACTCAAAATGCGAATCTATTTGATTCTTACAACTTCCTTAAAGTTAATCTTTATGAAGAAAATATGTGTGTAGTTACTTTAGATATCCTAGAAAATTAAACACTAAAAACTTTTGCTCAAGGAAGTTATTATTGAAAAAACTAGCGTTCACGAATGTGACAAAAACCAGGCAAAGATTTTCACTGCATTCATGCCTATATAAAAATGATGCTAATCTAAAGTATTTTTCGAAAAATTGCATGGTGCATTGAATAGAGAGCTTTGTAAAACAGAAAATATTTTCACTGAGTTTCTTTTCAAGATATTTAGCTTATTGAAAAAATTAATTTTGTCCAGTGTTAGCGATATGTAACAGTCTACGAAAATAGAAACGTAAGAATGTCGCTATAAATGATTCCAAAGTTCAGTAAGAATTCTAAATAGTACATGTTGTTTTTCGGAACCTGGAGATATTGACGAAAGAAAAATGCTTTCTTTGAGACCATTGGAAGATCTCAAAACGACCCGGTTTTTTTCTGTCATAATGTGATAAAGTTATTCGCTAATCACAATTTTACTAAATAATGTGAAAAGAAATTTATTTAGTTCTGATGCAACATTTTTACATATATTCTTGGTAAAAGAATTTTCTTAAAACAATAGACCTTATGAACAATGCCACTGGAATGAAAGATAGTCATGTTTCGTTTTGCCTTATATGGCCCATATGATTTTCAGTTTTGTTGGCAATGCTTTTTTTAAATAACTTTCACTTAATCATTTTACTAAAACAGATCATGTTAATTAAATTTGAGACACTTGGTTAATAGAAATGCTTGAGTAATTATATGTAAGAGAAAAACTAGTATTTATTGTGATATATAGGCAACATGATGACAATTGAAAAACATTATTCTTTCGTTCACAATAGTTTTAATTCAATGTTTTGATTTTTTTTATTGCTAATAATTATAACATGTTTGCATATATGTGAAAGTTTGTCTACATAAATAACAAGTGTAATTATGGGTATCAAGGTAAATAGCCGTAAAAGCAACATAAATATAACTGAAACGAAAATGCATGTGTAGACTGCATGTGTGAAGTGTAGATCATTCAGAATTGATCGTCTCTTAATAAAAATTCACATTCACATTTACACTCACACTCTTACTAATATCAATATCTTTATCTTCTGATCTTTTTATAGTTTGACATATTTATTATTTGATGGTGTGAATGTAGGCGTCTTTTTTTTAAAATTTGCACTCGCACCTTCAAGCGAAGCTCTTATCACCAGTATAGATTCATATGGTCTATCAAAATAATTTTAAAAAGCACGAGAAAATCGGATGGTACCTATAACTATGATTTTACTTTTTGAAAAGAGAAGGCTTTTATGATAATCAAGAGTTCAAAAAAAATTATTATAAAAAGTCTCGCTTATACTCTGGCGGAGTTTTTTTTTGTTTGTTTATACTTTATATTAGAACACGGTCACTTTTGTGTAGAGTATCTGAAAAGTGGGTAGTTTTTCAAGATTTTGATTATTAAAAATCAGTTTTTATTGGAAATGAACATGATTTTCAAAATCATCATTCAAAAGTACATCGAAAACTATACGTTTCGACACAAAATATTTCTGGTTAACATTTTCGTTTTCTTCCCGCTCATTTTTTTATCCGTAAAATTTTAGTTTGTAGCCTCTTGCGGGCAAAAGTCGATCGGAAATCTTTTGAAATGAAACATCGAGTTTGCAGTATTTTTATGCATCGTGTTTCTGAAAATCATGCTTGTTACCAAAGAAAAACCAATATTTAATAATAGAAACCTAGAGATTCTAGGTGTTTATAATGTATTTTATCTAGAAATGGCTTTGGTCGGAAAATAATGATTTTTTTTATTAACATGAAAAAGGTTTAGTGTCTAGCTACGTTATCTTATCATATCGTGAGAACACTGATAACCAAAAAAATAGCTATAAAAAGAAAAACTAACGTGAGAAAAGGAAAGTATAACCCATGAAAAACGCGCCACTATCTTTAATCAAATGAATTTGTTTAAATTAATTATTAAAAAAATTAATAATATTCATTTCAACTTTGTATTCTTTTTTGTTTCTACTGATAAAACATTCAATGAGTTATTTTTCATATGTAAATATGTTTAAATATTCACTGAAATGATGATTAAAAATTCAACTTTATGCTCAATATATTTTGTGTTTATTGAACTTATATGCCAAAAAGATACTAAACATGTTTTGCTTGAAATACATTTTGACAATGATAGCAAACGTAGTGAATAAGAATGTGGTCTATTACAATGAGTCTTATACGGAATAGACAACTTGAATTCTCACATAGATGTTTATCAGAACAACATTAAGATCATAACTGATCTTGTTCATATTAATTTGAATTTTGTGAATTTTCTTTACCTTTTAAAAAGTTCTTAAATTAATGATTGATTTTGCATTAGTACAGATAATATTCGTTTCTTTCATCACTTTCATCAATTCAAACATAGTAGACAAATAAAGCTATTCAGAGAAATAAATCAAATACAAATAGATAAAAAAATATGATGAATATAATACGTTTAAGTCACTTGAAATAATATAAAATAATCTAGATTTTTTCTAGAGAACTTTTGAAGCATGAAAATTAAAAAACTCATGATATCTATAAAAATCCATACGCTCACAGCTTCGATTCAATTTTCCTTCAATATTCAGAAAATTTTAAAAGCTCCCAAAAGAAACATTTATTATTTTTTCGAAGAAAATTGTACGTTGCATAGTTATTTTCTTAATAAGCACAATCTTGGAAGTTTGTGTTGAAACGAAGTCCTTTGGGACATGATTTTCGTTCCAGCCGTAATGCTATTGATAAAAATAAAAGTAAGTAATATATAAGTAAAAATAAATTTTTCTTTCCTAATTGTCTTACATCCGCCCACATTGGTACATTCGAAATATTTTCCTTGCTCATGCATCTCATTGTCAAAAAATTTCCCAGGACTTGCACAATCAAAATATCCTAGGCAAAAAAGCTTTTCATTGTTTACTAAAAACAGATATAAATAGATACTATTTTCACATTTGACGCCATGATAACCCGCTGGACAATGGCAGTAAGCAAATTTGGCTTCACCAATACAACTTTCTCGACAAGCCCCACCATTCATACATGGGCTGGATGAACACAAACCGGGATTTCCTATAATAAAGCAATCTTTTTTCCAATTTAATAACAAAAAATCTTTACCTTTCAGTTCACAATATTCTCCTGACGTCCCACCTTGACAGAAACAAACACCTTCAGGTGATCCATTTGAATTTCGAATAGCACAATCGCCATTGTTTTTACAAACGATTCTTTGGCATAAATCAGAATCTTAACGAAAAAAACANTTTTTTTAAAACTTAGCTTGCTCGAGAAGTTGTTCGATTGAATCATGCACTAACTGATGTAAATGAAAAGTTCATTAGAGAAGAAATAAAGTAAGAAATAAATAATAGTATAATTTGATTTGTATTTTGAATTTTTCAGAGCTCAACAATATAAAAATGAAAATGATGCATTACATGAAAAATTAGAGACAGCAGAATTTCAAACAAATGAACTTCTACAAACTAATCACGTACATTTATTTGTTCTGTTGTAATGATATTTATATATTCTATATTTTGAAGATACTTCGAGATGAATTTGAAGCTATTAAAAATAATGTTGGCCAATTACAAATAGATTATAATCAAATGAGACCGACTTGTATGGAACTTGAACAACAATTAGAAACAGCTAAACGAATAAATGAACAAATGGAAGATGAGTTAATATTTTATAAAAATCAACAAGCTGCTATGCATGATCATGAAAATGAACAATTTTATAAGAAGTAAAATAATGTTTATTAATGAATATCAAAACTCTTTTTTTTTTTTGTTCTCAGAGTTCATGAAAACATTGAAGAAAAAAAACCAGCTGATCCAAGTATCTTTTTTGATGATGATATTGTCATAGTTCCGTCAATTAAACATTCACCTGATTCATATAAAGATGCTTTTGATAATTCAAAGTATGTTTATTGAATTGTTTTTTTTTTCTTTTTAATAATATATTTTATTTGATAATAGTTATAGTCCAATGTACTATTCTTTTGATGAATCATTACATTGGGAAAGAAAAAACGCTACACATGGTTTGAATAATGGTGGAAAAAATTTACTGACAAGTCTTGTGCGTAAATTTGCAAATGGAATGACTAATAGCACAAATGACAGATTCAATCGAACATCGACAAGTTGTCTATTGGCTTCTATTCCAACAAGAATATCAACTTGTTGGGTAAAAATTAAATAAAGAGTATATTTAACAGCTAGAAAATTTCTCTTCATTAGAAACACAAACCTTTGTGTAAAAAAAAAGCCTTTATTCTTTTATTCTGATCTTTTCGATTTAACTAAACAATGTAATAAATAAACTGACAGTCATTAATTACTCATATTCTCTTATAAGACAGCCTTCTGAGATTGCTGAATCATATTAACAATACTTTTATGAATCCGAAGGATCGATTTTATTTATAATATCATATGCTATTTTAAAAGAATTTGTCGAACATTATCCTAATGGTTTGTACGAATAGCAATTTATTGTTTTCTTATTTTCATATTTGATGTAAATTGAAAATATGAATTATCATTTAGAGAGGAATTCTTGAAAAAAAAACTGATTATTCCAAATTCCATTTATTTATCATAAAGTCTATTATCTATCATTAATTATTTGATATAGGATTGTACTGAACTTGAAGTATATGCTCTTCAATTTCAACCATCTGGCTCAATATTAGCGACAGGATGTAGTGATAAAATGATTCATTTATGGGAAATTTCATTAACTGGTCAACAACGTAAATATTGTTCACTTCAAGGTAGTCATGGAGCAATCAATGCACTTGATTTTGATAATGAAGGAGTATATAAACTATTAAGAACTCAATTTTTATTAATTTAATTTTATTATATTAGTTTCGCCTTTTGGCTGGGTGTTCCGGTAATAAAGCATATATTTGGTCATATGGAGAACAGAGAATGCTTAAAGATATCTATACCGGTCACGAACGCTTAATAAATACTTGTAAATTTATTTCGGGAGCAAAACTAGTAACGGGCAGTGCTGATCGAACAATTAAAATATGGGATTTACACAGTCGACATTGTAAAGTCTTTGTAATACAATAAATAATATTATAAAAATGATATTTTTTTAAGGCATAGAAACTTTATTCATTGGATCAATATGTCATGATTTAGTAGTGACGGATGCAACTGGCACAATAATAAGTGGTCACTTTGATAAAAAAATTCGTATATGGGATCCATTTACAAATAGATGTCGAACTGAATTAGAATATGATGCAGCAATTACATCATTATCATATAATGATGGTATAAACAAAAAAAGAATGTTCTTTTGAAAAGTATACAACTTAAAAATTTTAGAAAAACAACGATTACTTGCATGTTTTAAAAATGATACACTTAAATTGATTGATTTAAGACAAAATAAAACTGTTTATACATTTAAGTAAGCATTCCGAATAGAATTCGAACTGTTTCGATTTTTAACGTATTGCAATAATTTTGATGATTATTTTTTATTTTAGGCATGATAATTTTAAAGTAAGCACAGATACAAATAAAGCTGTTTTATCACCCGATGGTCGTTATGCTTGTGTTGGTTCTCATGATGGTTCTCTAGTCGTATGGAATATGGAAAATAAACATTGTGAAAATGTTTTGAAAAACAAACATAAGTCCGTATTGAAACAAAAACTTAATTTATTATTTTTAATGAAAATTTTTTTTTTTCGTAGTACAATGGTCACATCAGTCGCTTGGCAACCTGATGGAAAATATGTTGCATCTTGTGAAAAACATCGTCAAGTAATTCTTTGGACTCAATCATAATTAAATATTCATTTCTTTTTGCATTTTATTGTGACAAATTATTTTTAAGTAACTTTTTGTTTTGTCTTATATCGGATGATCAAAACTGTATTATTATATATCGTCCATGTAAACCAGAAATATTAATTGATATTTATTTCTTTGATTAATTTTTTTTTACATGTCATCTATTTTCTTTTGGTAGATATAAATTAATTATGGAATGGAAACAAAAAATATTTAATCAATTACAAGAACGTAATAAACGAGAACGTGATGCTTATGCAGAAATTGTTAAGCATTGTAGGTTTTTCTTTATATGTGTTTCAATTAGAAATAGAAATGATTCATGTGTAATAATAATCATCAATTACATTAAAAAGATTTTTGTTTTACTATGAGAGAAAAAAAAAACACTTTCTTAAAGTCATGACTCTTTACTATTTTGGGAAACTATTTAATATAAACTAAATTATTTTTGATTTTACAAATGTATATATAGATAATCGTCTAACTGAAAATTATTCAACAATATTAGTCCGATGTACGGATCAAGAACGAGACATATTAACATTACGTCAGGAAAATACAGATTTGCAAAAAAACAGTGTTAGGTAAAAATATTTCATGGTATAGCCGATATAATTAAAAAAATTCTATTTTATTATTTCTTTTAGTGTCGCTGGTCTTCCTGTCAATGATAAAATTAGAACATTAGAAAACGATTATATGAAAGCGAAAGATGAAATACTCACATTACTAAGAGAACGAGGCGATGTATGTTTTAGAGTTATCTTTTTCTTATTTATCTATTTTTATTTTTATTTAGATGACGAAAGAAGTAATTAGTCTTAGTCGTCTTGTTAAAGAAAGAGATGAAAAACTTTATACTGAACAGAATAAGTTTGTATTTTGTTCTTTTTATTTTATAGATGATATATGGTTGTTGTTTTTCTTTGTTTTGAGGAATCAAATATTAACAAAAGAGAATGTATCTTTAAAACAACGACTTGAATCAACTGAAGATCAATTGAGTGCCTTGAAAAAAGTTAACGAAGTAAGCTGAAAAAATATCTAAGCTAAAGTCATAATTATGCAAAGATATCATTTCTCAATAGTGAAATAATTTACATTTAGTAATTTTATAATTCATGTATATGAGATGATAGGATATATGTAAGAAAGATTGTATAGTATGATAAACGGATATTCACTTATGACTGACAAAAAATATCAGGATATTGATTTCTTTGTAATTATGAAAAGTAAATCATTCGAAATATTGTATTTGATTTATCGAATCAAATAGAACACAAAGATGCTTCACATGAGTTGTCATCTTCTCTAATCACTCTGACTACAAGCTACCGAATTGTAAAAACAGCCGATTTTTATAGAGTATATTACAATAGTTTACTTGATACCAAGGAAATAGAAATAAAATGCAATATTATTTATAAAATAACATATTTCACAGTATAATTATTGAGAAGAGAATTCGTAGTCTTATCCTATTTGACTTGACATTTTTAAGAATGTGAGAGCTGGTAGGACTTATTTTTCGTCATTTATTAGATTTATTGTAACCATGAGATTTATCGAAATAAATCTATTGACAGCATAATATATATATTCGAATTATATCAAAAGAAAGGCATAATTTAATAATGTTAGTTCTATCCTCAGCCAGCTATCTACTCTCAACATAATTCCTTACATTTCATGATAAGATTATAGTGGAATTAATAGATAACTCATGAACAAATAAGTCCTGAACGCTGCTGAAGAATCTTCGAGTTATTGTAAAATTTCAAATAAAAGAATCGAATTATTGAAAACAATCTTTTCTCTTTAGACAATCCATGATGAATTCCAAGCATTGCAATTAGCCTATACACAATTAGAAGAACGTCAAAAAGAATTAGATGCAACCATTGCTGTTTTACGTCAAAAAATGACTGAAAAAATGGAGAAAAAATGTAATGCATTAGATGAAGAAGTTAAATTGCATGAAAAGTTTGTTTTATGAGCAAATTTTTTTTCAATCTATGAAATTATTTTTCAATTTAGACGAAGGGAAGATGACGTGAAAAGAAAATTAGACGAAGCTAAGAGTGATCTGATGATGCCGGCACTATCAAACATGGTGTACGTATATATTTTTCGAAGTTTATTGTTCAATTTTTTTTCTTTTAGTTCAACAACAGCATCACTAACACAATTGAAAAATGCCAATCTTGATGGAAAAGTACATCTAACGCCAACAATAGATTTCATCAAAGTTATTGTACCAAAAAAGGCTATAGTCAAATGGGTCAGTTTTTAAAAAAATATCTTGATGTGAGTGAGTGTGGTTTTCACTGATCATTCTCGGTTTTTTTATCATTTAGGATTGTGGTGATAATGAATTACATGCTATTCAATTTCATCCATCTGGATCATTAATTGCAACTGGTGGTAGTGATAGAAAAATTCATATTTGGGAACTAAATGCTCATTATAGTAATCAAAATATTTTTCTATATACAAGTTAAATAAGAAATTTTCAATATAGATCAAGTTCAACAAGTTTATGTTCTTACTGGAAATAATTCAACAGTGACTGCTATTGATTTTGATAATGAAAATGTAAGAAATCAAGAAACTTTGATTGATTTTTTAAAATATTTAATGAATGAATTTTTATAATAGGCTAATTTAATTCTTGGATGTTCAGAAGATTTCGCTTGTCGTGTTTGGGGTCTTGCTGATCAACGTTTACGTCATACATTAACTGGTCATGGAGCAAAAGTTTTTTGTGCTAAATTTGTTACTGCAACTTTAATTGCATCAGGTAGCCAAGATCAAACATTGAAATTATGGGATTTACAAAATCGTCAATGTAAATTTTTTTTTTCTTTTTCCTTATTTGATATTTAGCTATTTCTTTATTTTTCAGGTGTACGAACTTTATTTGCTCGATCTGAATGCCATGATTTAGTTACACATGATGCATCTGGAAGTTTGATTAGTGGTCATTTTGATAAGAAGATACGTTTTTGGGATGCAAGAAATGATTCAATTAAATGTGAATTGCAATTACAAGCAGCAGTTACTTCATTATCGATTAATCGAGGTAATCGAATAAAGCTAGTGGTAGGATTTTATGAATATTGTTTTATTTTTATATTTAGAAAAACAACTACTATTGGCTTGTTCACGAGATGATACACTTAAATTAATTGAACTCAGGGAAAATCGAGTTATACAAACATTTAGGTAAAGAGTTTTACTTTTGTTTTAATGCAAGTATTAATTCACGAGAATTCTTTCTTGATACATTTGTATAATTTTTTTTAGTAAAGTAATAAGAAGTTTCTTTTCACATGAGTAAGTTTTTTGTCGACAAACAATCAAGAAAACTTAAAGCCAAAACCAAAACTTGCTCATGGAGTCGATTATAGTCATCAAAGAATCACGTGTAAAAAAAATCACAAAAAAGTCGCTAGAACTAAGTAACGAGTTATGACTACATACTGTAATGACTCGAAAGATGATTTCTTTACCTCATGTGATTATTTCGTTAAAGAAACATAGCCAAACAAAATCAACAATAGAAATATTGTCACCTAAATAATTGACAAGTTCGATTAAGCGAAGTTTGTTAAGATGTTTGATTTGCATCAGTAGACGCAAGTCCTAAAAAGACTTATAAAAACTCTAAAAGAATTTGAACCGGTAAGCAATGTCCTCAAAACTTATACTTACTAAGATTAGGATTTGTATCAACAAATTAGAATTAAATTTTTCTTGAATATCTCGAAACCAAACGAATAATCAAAATTCGTAGAATATTCTAAGTGAAGTGTGATACTCTATCTTGTCAGTTAGACTAAATAAACATTAATACTAACAGATATAAGTACTGTTTATGAGTCGAATTTCAGTTCGATATTCGCAGCTTGATTTTTATGAAATTCTACAAGAATTTTTTTTTGCATCAATTATACGAAATAATCAACTAGTTTTTGCTCACTTCATACTAATATTATAAATAAGTTCTCTTCATTTGATTAAGGTCATAGTTTTCTCGTCCAGAGAAGCGATTTACAACTCCAAGAGAGCAAATACCTATTTTTTGGAAGCATAGACAAATGGTATATGGTACTATAATCACGAACTCCTAGAAGACCGACGTGATTTTCCACGGACCACCATACCCTCTGTTCTCATGTTGTACAGAACACTAGATTAAGGAACTGATAGTCACTCAATGCAGCAGCTCGCTTGTACATGGGTATCTTAAAAGCATCAAAAAAATTCTTTCACTTTATAACACAATTTGTTTTTTTCTTTGAATACATTATGAATTAAAATAGATGTATATTTTAGTCATGATGATTTTAAAGTGGCATCGGACACAATAAAAGCAGTTCTTTCACCTGATTGCACTTATGCATGTGCTGGTAGCAATGATGGATCAGTATTTGTTTGGAATACAGCAACAGGCAAAATTGAAAAAGTTCTCAATAAAGAACATTCGTAAGTAGCTTACTTGAAAAATCACTCAATAATAAATAGAAACGACCAAATTATCTCATCCTCTTCAAATTTCTGGTAATATTAAGCAAATTTAGATCTTTCAAATAAGGCATTGTTTTGTGTTTATTTTGCTCTCTGTCAAAATTTATTTTGTTCATTAACAGAAGAGAAAATAAATATAAAACAATTTGGTTAAAACTGATTGATTCTTTTTCTTTTTATCTTTTTGTACTACTATTTGTTTGAAATGATTGCTTGAATTTTTCTATTCTAGGTCAATTGTTAATGCTGTTGCTTGGCATCCCGAAGGACAATTCATTGCTACTTGCGAGAAACAAAGACAAGCAATATTATGGGGAGAGTAATATAATACAATCATTTCAATAGTTTTTTTTTTAATATATTTTTTTCTTTCTGTCTTTATTTTCCAATATTGCTATATATATAGCTCTCGATGAGGAAAAAGACAAATTTGGTGAGATGAATATTCAAAAGTTATT